GGGGAGGAGAGGAGAAGAGGAGGAGAGGAGAGGAGGAGAGGAAAGAAAGGAAAATGAGATTTATCTACCTTATGGCAAGGGAAAGGAGAGAGAGGAAAGAAGGAAGCAAGGAAGGAAGGAAGGAAGGAAGGAAGGAAGGAAAGAAGGAAGGAGGGAATGAAGGAAAGAAGGGATGGATGGGAAGAAGAGGGGAGGGAGGGAAGGAGAAGGAGTAAGGGAAATGGATGAGAAAGGGAATGGAATGGAAGGGAGGGAGGGAGGGAGAAAGGAATTAGAGAGAGGAAGGAAGGAAAAGTAGATTTATTTACCCTATGGCAAGGGAAAGGAGAGGAAGGAAGGAAGGAAGGAAGGAAGGAAGGAAGGAAGGAAGGAAGGAAGGAAGGAAGGAAGGAAGGAAGGAAATATCTGTACACAGAAGGCAGATGTTGAAATATTGGCCTCAGACAGAGCAGCTGGCACACATGTACTTTTTTCAAACACAGTTTACTATACACAATCTATAAAAAGAGGACGACAGCACAACAGTGGGCCCAGAAGTGACCGGAAGCTCATGCAGGAAGGAAGCAACTGAGGGAGAATCACAAGTACCAGTGAAGCACTCGGATGGGGAACTGGCAGGAAAATTGCACCAGAATGACTAATTTTTCCCCATGCCCAATATCCTTGAAAATCTACGTTGAAAGAAAGAAAGAAAGAAAGAAGTAAATAATAAAATAAAAAATAAAATAAGTTAAGAGAGAGAGGTGCTGGCAGGTAAAAATGATAAAACACAAGATCAAAAGGATGAATCACAACACAGTCTAGAAAAACCCAAGACAAGCTGTTAGGGTTATTTGACGTTTCTCCTAATATAAATGCCAGTTTCAATTCCTCAAAATGAGTTTCTCCTCTCTTGGTTTGGGTCGAGTGGACAGGGGCATCGGATGGGTCCAAACGGTCAAGATTTCAGCTGGGATGGAAACCTACCGCTTTTATTTATTTTTTTTAACTTGCATCTCCCAACCTTCCGGGTCTGGGACATACTCGCTGTGGCCTAACTCGCCGCGGGACGAGAGCTACACTAATATCGAAGAAACGGTGGAATAGAATCGTTAAAGAAAAGAGGCCAAAGGAGGGACAAATGGAGGTGCGAAGGGCGAAAATTAAAATAACTTTTAAATTATTTTAAATACGTATGTCAAGTTGAGAGCCTAGAAGAAACTTGTAATCGTGTCCAGGATGGGAATGGATTGCCAAGGCTCGCCAATTGCAGCCCGTGAGACCCTGCTCCTCCCTTCAAGGCCACGCTGCGTAGGTGTTCCCATCACAAAAGGAGCGTATTCGATTGGACAACGCCGTGGACCAAGGGGAAAGGCCAAAGGGGGGGATTCAAGTTTAACCATGTGGATTTTGAGTAGGAAATCCAGAGCTGGTTTTGCTTCTATTGTGCCAGGGAAGTGTATTCAATAAAAGTGTTAATTTTGGGAAGAAGGATATCCCAGGAGTTCCCCTCTTGGATTTGCTAGCTGGACATCTGACAACTTAAATTGAATTGTTGAACTGTCCTGCAGTGAGATGGCCACGGCGAGTTGGCTGCGGTGAGTTAGCTGCACCAAGTTGTCCCATTCCGCACCCTGCAGGTTAAAAAGGGGCAGAGTTTTGATCAGCTGGTTGTGGTGGCCATCTTGGCTTTGAACCTCTTTCCTTGCAAGGGGGTCTTTTTTTCCTGTCCCTTCCCTTTTCCTGTCTCCTGTAGGAACTGAGCAATTTTCTAACTCGTCTGAGTAAAGAGAACGTCCTCACGGCTAATATTTTTGCAGGGTTTTCTTATTACTTCGTATGCAAATAAGGTTCTTGCCTTTCTCCCATTTTTTTTTCCTTTTCCTTCCCCCCCCCCACCCAGGGAACTGGCTGTTCTATTACCCAAAAAGACCATCAACTGAGAGAAAACGTTTGTCGAAAAACACACGAGACGTCGGACCACAACGCATTGTGTAAAGGGAGAGAGTTGCTCTGCCCACAAGAGCGATTAAATAAAAGATGCTACAATTGGCTAGAAAAGGGGGAAAAAAATACGCTTGCCAAAACCTGGAGATTTCACAGGACTCTCCCATCATGGGGGTGGAGGGGGGGAAGCCCCACTGTCTGATGTCACCCTCTGATACGTGTTGTATGTGTACCCTACTTGTGACGTGACTGATTACGTTGTGCTTTTTGGTATTTTCAAATTCCAAGTCTTTTCTGTGCTGCCAACGGTAGTCCTTATTTCGTCTGACAAATAGACTGGAATCTGCATAACTTGGGGAGGACTGAGTGGAATAGACATTACAGCCAAAGGAAGGAGATGCATGGAAGAACACCGGCTGGAAAGACACTCTGAAACTGGTCAAGGATGGACTTGTCGCTGCTTCTTTCTTCCCTTGCTGGGACTAGTTGGGATGCTCCTTGCTGGATATCCCCAAAGTCGTCCACTCTTTCGCTCCGCAGAACGAGCCCAAAGAGAGAGAGGTTCCCCACAGCTGTACGAACGGTCTGCGATGTGGCCCGGCAGTCTAAGAGGTCAACCCCAGATTGTCCCTCTTGCTTCTCTCCACCGCCACGACCCGAACTTGGGACTCGAGCAGGTCCGAGGTGCAGGAAGGAAGGAAGGAGTGTGTGCTGTACGCTCAAGCGGTGAGCTTGTCCTCGTGGGAAAGAGTAACTCGAGATTCCTCGCTTGTGAAGCTACAGGGTGTGTGTGTCAAAAGGTGTTGGGAGTGAAATGCAGAAGGCTTCAGTTGTTCTCAAAAAGAGAGAGAAGGTCATCGTTGCTATTGCTTGGTAAGTCAGGAGGATCCAAGTAGGAAAGTAACTCATCGGGGTTTGTGAGTTCAGGAAGCAGCTACAACAGAAAGAGAAGACAGCTGGTGAAGCCCTGGTCAAGTGTGCAGGCATCCACGGCCCACGTCTGTTGGAAGATGCAACTTCTAAAGCATTGACAGAGACTCTCAATAGGACTAAACGACAACAGAGCGTTGACCTGCTGTTGGGCCTTCGTTGACGGAAGCCAACTAGAAAGGACTCTTTGAGCATCTTTGTCTCTTGCACACAAACACATAATTTGCACATGCACATAAATAGTCTTCCATGGACAATGCTAGCTGAGACCTTTCTCCCCACACTGCATACTTAAGGAAACTCTTCATCAGAAAGACCTTTTGTATATTTGCTCCCTCATCTCCATAAAACAGATGGCTCAAGTTTCACTAAGACTTCTACTCATCTGTTCTAAGACATGCCTTTTCTTAGGTATGTCCCAGTCTTCAACTAGGATTCATCCGCACTATAGGTTACCCAGTGTCAGAAATAAATTTGCTTGATATATCCAGTTGGCAGTCCAAATGTTTAGCAGAAGCCATTGGCATTTTTCCCACGGCAGCCATCAGATTGCCAGCAAATACAGTTACATACCCAGGTAACAAATCATTTTTTTTAATTACTTCTACTATGGTTTCCTTAAAGCCAACATCCTTTCCTAGTTGTATTCAGGCATGTTTAAACTCAACATTTACTGGGAGGAAGCCTTAAAAAAAAACAATTTTGTAATGGTTCATCCATTAAGAGAACAAATGAAACCCATCGGGGCTGTCTAATTAGCTAATATCATGTAGCTTCTTCCAATCATTTGTGTAGGATTTTCCATACTCTTGAGTTACGTGAAATGATATGTGAGGCTTCCTGGGCAAAAACCCTGTTAAGACCTTTGATTTTGCCAGCATCAGGGACATAAAAATCACAACCCACCTTTTCCCATTTAAATGCCCCAGATATTTGTCACAGTTTAGATAATTTGAACAATCTTATCCGAACACACAGATGTGAACTGAAAGAGCGGTGTTTTACCTACATGGGTGTTTCCATCCACACTTTTGAATAAGTTTTTTTTTTCTCCTAAAAAGTCTGGCATGTTAGCTTTGTTTCCAGCTCCTCAGCTACGTTCCTTGTTTATGGGGGGAAAAAACATTCACACTCTTTGCTTACAAATCGTTTTGCCCCAGCTCATCACGAGGACGAGTGACTTTCTTCCAAAGGCAAAATTATTATGACTGCGTCTTAGCCAGCACAGACAAATAGTAAAGCCTCCTTAGAGTTAACTCTCCGTAACTTTATGAACATGTCCATGCAGTTGCTTTGAACACTATACTGTCTAAGCAGTTTACAGGGTCAGCCTATTGTTCCCAACAATCCGGGTCCTCATTTTACCAACCTCGGAAGGACGGAAGGCTGAGTCAACCTTGAGCAGGTCAGGATCGAACTGCGGAATTGCTGGCATCTGGCAGTCAGCAGAAGTAGCCTGCAGTACCGCATTCTGACCACTGCGCCCCCAGGGCTCTTATGGGACAACCATGACCTGGATGATTGAGCATCTCCACAGATGTTATCAAGACGTTATCCTTCAAACTTGTGAATCAACCAGACATTCTATAACAAGCCAGAATCTCCCAGGTCCCTGAAGTTTATTGCCAGAGAGGAAATGAGGAGCAAGCACAGAATGGATTTGAATTTCATGCATATCAGCACTTCTTAATTTCCCTGTCCAGTTCTCCGTTGTCTACGCACCCGTAAGATTGTTTTAACAATATTTAACAATATTGTGTCGCAACACAATAGATGGGACCATAAATTAACCCAAACAGGCTGGGTTTGCCCCAATTAACACCTCTAACCAATATGTGGGCATGTAGGCTACGTAAGCCAGGGGTCTCCAACCTTGGCAACTTTAGGACTTGAGGACTTCATAGCTGGCTGAGCAATTCTGGGAACTGAAGTCCCCAAGTCATAAAGTTGCCAAGGTTGGAAAGTCCTGATGTAATGAGGGTGAAGGTGCGTTCTCTGAGCTTGTGGGTTGGTTTCCAAACATTTTGTTTACCAGGCTAGGTGACATCTTCAGCGGAGTTTAGGGGATGTCAGTGTTCTTCTGTTTATATGGGCTTCTGGTGTGGGTGTGTCAAGTGAGGGCCTTGTGATGGGTCAGGTGTGAGTCATCGGTGAGAGACTTGTGACGGGTCTTGTGGTGGGAAGGTTACATCAGGTCAGGATCATTAGGAGGTGAACTGCTGGTGAGAGTGGGGGCTTTTGAGAGTGGGGGCTTGTGCGGGATGGTTGAGGGTCGGTGCTGTCTCTGGTTGGCTGTTCATCTCCCAATGACCCTGACCTCATGTAACCTCCTCATTCCAAGACCCATCCCAAGCCTCTCACTGATGACTCACACCTGACTCATCACAAGACACCCCCTTGATACACCCACACCTGACCCATCACCAAAACCATCACCAAAACCATCACAAAACCCTCGACACTCCCACACCTGACCCATCACAGGACCCTCCCTTGACACACCCACACCTGACCCATCACAACACCCTCACTTGACAGACCCATACCTGACCCATCAAAAGACCCTCACTTGACACACCCACACCTGACCCATCACAGGATCTTCCCTTGACACACCCACACCTGACCCATTACAAGACCCATCACAGGACCCTCCCTTGACACATCCACACCTGACCCATCACAGGACCTTCACTTGACACACCCACACGGGAAGTCCTTATAACCAGAACAACACTGACACCGACATTCTCTAAACTCCGCTGAAGATGCTAGCAAAATGCTCGGAAACCAATCCACAAGCTCAGAGAATGAACCTCCACCCTCATCCTGCACCTGAGCTACAGATATTTGCCGACACTTTTGCAAACCGTGAGGTAAGTCACCTTCCTTCCTTCCTTCCTTCCTTCCTTCCTTCCTTCCTTCCTTCCTTCCTTCCTTCCTTCCACCTCTTCTGACCTCAAATGCACTGCGAAGGGAAGCAGGTGACAGAATGACACAGACTTACATCCAGCGATGGTTCCGGCATATCGGACGTTCCCTGCCCGCCGGGTTGCGCTTCTAAAGCTGCCGAGGGGTTAAAAGCCAGGTCGCTGTGCGGATGGTTGCTAGCAGCGGCCTGGGTCGGCTGGCGGGACGGCTGAGTCGGGGGACCACTGTGATGTAATGGCTGCCCTGACTGGCTGCTGGGATGAGGGACGTGCAAACTTTGCGGCATGGAGCTATGGGACTGATCAGTGTTGCCAGGATGAGGGATCTGCAGAAGGAGGAGAGAAGCAGGAGAGCAGACATGAGGAGATGCGGTGGCAAGCTGGAAGATGGGGAGAGCATGGTGCTGGGGGGGGGAGGGGAATCGTTTCATAAACCATCATCGCTACAAGCCTTTATCATCCAGGAGGAACCCAGTTCGGGCACTTGTCAACCCACAGCATTCAAAACAAACACATTTAGAAAAATGCTTGGAATAAGAAACGGTGGTCCCGTTGGGCTGTAAGTCCAGATGACACCCTGAAAACTCCACGTAATTGGAAAGCTGACATTTTGATTTTTCTAATCCCAAAGTTGCTTTTTTTTTTCTTCAAAAGGGCAACTGGACTTTGTTTTTCCTTGAAGACGTTTTGCTTCTCTTCCAAGAAGCTTCTTCAGCTCCGAGTGGATGGCGGGGAAGGGAAGGATTTATACTCCGAGAAAAACCTCCAATTAGCCTCAGCGACTCTCAGGGAGAGCGCTAACGACCAGATGACTGCCAGGAATAAAAAAAATCCTTCCACCCTCCACTATTCAGTCAGAACTGAAGAAGCTTCTTGGATGAGAAGCGAAACATCTTCAAGTGAAAACAAAGTCCAGCTGCCTTTTGGGGGGCGAAAAAAAGCATCTTTGGGGCAGCCATGATCTGGATGACTGAGAATCTCCATAAATATTTTTTCTAGTATGTTAACTTCTGAGTATGTTGACTTCTTTAACTTTTCTGGTATGAATTCTAATAAACAGAGCACATCTTTTCATTTTTTTTAGGCAAAATACCTTCCCACAATATATATGTGTATATGCGTATGTGTATGTATGTGTATGTAGATAGATAGATAGATAGATAGATAGATAGATAGATAGATAGATAGATAGATAGATAGATAGATAGATAGATAGATAGATAGATAGATAGATAGAATCAACTCTTGATCAATTAGTTGCACGGTGCGAGGAACAAAAAGAGATGAGAAAGTTAGTATTTCACTTTTTTTAAAAAAAAGAGAGAGAAAAAGAAACCCTCCGACTATTCTTACTGTTCTGCATATAAACATACACTCATTCTCTCTCTGTATGTGTTTGTTTGGTGATGGACTCTCCTTTTACACAGGTGATCCTTCATTGCAGACTATAATGACTGAAGAAAAACAGAATCGGAAGGGACCTTGGAGGTCTTCTAGTCCCTCTCAAGCAGAAAGCAATATACTGTTTCAGACAAATTGCTTCCAATTTCTTCTCGAAAGCCTGCATTGGTGAAGCACCCACAACTTCTGGAGGCAGGTTGTTCCGCTGGTTAATTGTTCTCACTGTCAGGAAATTTCTCCTTAATTCCAGGTTGCTTCTCTCCTTGATTCGTTTCCATCCGTTGCTTCTTGTCCTGCCTTCAGGGGCTTTGGAGAATACCTTGACTCCCTCTTCTTTGAGATACTGGAACACGGTTATCATGTCACCCCTAGTTCTTCTCTTCATTAAACTAGACATACCCAATTCTTGCAATCCTTCTTCATATATTTTTAGCCTCCAGCCCCCTAATCGTCTTCATTGCTCTTCTCTGCACCCTTTCCAGATGCTCAATATTCCAAGTGTGGTCTTATGAAAAGTATATGTACGAATTAAAAAAAAGAGTGTCTTTTAAACTCACCTGTATATATAGTTGCAAACCCGATACACAAATGTAAGGACACAAAAGGAAGTGCACAAACGTCCTAGCACAGATAGACTTCGGGTGTATCATATAGAACTATTTTCATGTTCGTAGTCACAGCTGATCATATTTCCACCGGCTCAATTTTCTCCCACTTTAGATAGCTAAAAGGAAATCCTTTGTGCTCCCACTTGACTATTTGAAGACCAATGTAGTTCCTCCTTCCGTTTAAAGTCATGGTACTCAATAGTTGTCACTCAGACTTCATTTACACATAGAGGCAGCTTCCTGCCAAATTAAGAACACATCCCTAAAACCTAAAGCATCCTGTACTGTCACCCAGCCATCGCAATATAAAACAAACCATCATGATTGCAGTATTGACGTATAATAATAATAATAATAATAATAATAATAATAATAATAATAATAATAATAATAATAATAATAATAATAATAATAATAATAATAGAGTTGGAAGGGACCTTGGAGGTCATCTAGTCCAACCCCCTGCTCAGGCAGGAAACCCTATACCATTTCAGACAAATGGTTGTCCAATCTCTTCTTGAAAACTTCCAGTATTGGAGCATTCACAACTTCTGGAGGCAGGTTGTTCCACTGGTTAATTTTTCTCACTGTCATGAATTTTCTCCTAAGTTCTAGGTTGCTTCTCCCCTTGATTAGTTTCCATCTATTGCTTCTTCTCCTGTCTTCAGGCGCTTTGGAGAATAGTTTGACTCCCTCTTGACATTATTTAGGTGACTCCAGAAAATATATGGGCCTCTGCCCACTGCTACGTTGGGCATTCATTCTCCCATCCTTCTGCCTCAAGTTGGCAGAAATCAGCTGTGTGAAATTGGCTATTCCCATCACCAATATCTTCTCTGCATCTCTTAGCACAGGGGTCTTCAAACTTGGCCCTTTGATGTCTTGTGGACTTCAACTCCCAGAATTCCTCAGCCAGGCACGCTGGCTGAGGAATTCTGGGAGTTGAAGTCCACAAGTCATCAAAGGGCCAGGTTTGAAGACCCTTGTCTTAGCAGAAAGAGCCAGCCCTGATTTCTTGCAAAAATAATGACTAACAAAATGAGGGAGAGAGGGGTGGAGGGAGGGAGGGAGGGAGGAAGGAAGGATGAAAGGAAGAAAGGAGAGGAAGAGAGGGGGAAGGAAGGAAGCAGCAGAAGGAGGGAGGGAGGGAGGGAAGGCAGGCAGGCAGGCAGGCAGGCAGGCAGGCAGGCAGGAAGGAAGGAAGGAAGGAAGGAAGGAAAGAAGGAAGGAAGGAAGGAGAGTTGCCCCCCCTGTTTCTTAGTTCCTGGTTAATCTCAGTCCTTATAAAGTGTGTGAAATGAAGCTGAATATTGGCTCAATTTCATTTTTTGCAGACGGTGCTTTTTTTCAGCCTCGGAATCAATTAAGGCAGGCACTGCAGACTCCTTCATCTCACTATAGCCAGGAGACATTAAAAATGATTTATGAAAAGGCTAAAAGTAATGGTTTCTGGGAGAGAGACCTCATATATAGGGAAGTGGATCTTAAATAACCACAAGGCAGGGCAGCTTTCCCCTTTGAAAGGGGTTAAGTGTATTTTTCTTTCAAAAAAGGGGATTTGCCTCCTTCTGGATTTCTGGATGTGGGCATATCGTGGCAGCTAAACATTAAGCTTTTAACGATCTAGAAAGGGAATCTGAAAATAAACAACTCCCAAATAGATTTTCTTTTCTTTCTTTTTTTGGTTGTTTCATTCATTTCAGAAACAAAATAATTCAATGTGCAATAGGCTAGTATTAAAAAAGTAATCATCCGCTTAGATTTGATAAATAGCTGCTTTTACTGACAGGAGCTGGCAACAATTAGGGACCTGCAAAGTTCACCAGTTTGAGGTGGAATGTTCTGGAGAACTTTGGCCCGTTTCCCAAAGGCAACTGGACTTTCTTGGGATTTTTTTTCCCCCTTGAAAACATTTCACTTTGGGACAGTTCTGCTGTTTCCAGAAGAAAATTCTCCAAACTCAAAGCGGATTGAATTATCTCAGGCATGATTTGGCATTGTAATCCCAAAGATGCTTTTTCAGGAGGCAACTGGACTTTTGTGGGGGTTTTTGAAGATGTTTCACTTCTCATCCAAGAAGCTTCTTCAGCTCTGATTGGATGGTGGGGAATGGAAGGATTTATACTCCTTGCAGACAGATGGTCATTTGCCTTTTTTTAGAGGGTCCTTGAGGCCACCTGGAGGCTTATTTGTGTCGTCAGGTTCCCCTAAGTAGGGTAAATGGGTGTAGTGCCTTGTTGGAACTGTTGAAAGGACTGTGTTGTAGACTGGAGATAGATGGTATTGTATATATTTATCCCTCTCCCTCTGTTGAAGGACGGATAAAACTGTCCTTTCCATAGTTCCAAGAAGGCTCCACCATCCATTTGCACCACTCAGGTGACCCTGAGGACACAGATAAACCTCCAGGTGGCCTCAACGGCTCTCCAAAAGAAGGCAAACGACCAGCTGTCTGCAAGGAGTATAAATCCTTCCATTCCCCACCATCCAGTCAGAGCTGAAGAAGCTTCTTGGATGAGAAGCGAAATGTCTTCAAAGAAAAAGAACAAGAAAGTCCAGTTGCCTCGTGGAAAAGCATCGTTGGGATGGGATGACTGAGAATCTCCATAGACACTTGGCATTCTAGTTGACACGGACTTCTTTCAAGCATGACACCACAAAATTCCCCCAGAAGGCCATGGTCTAGAAAAGAAGTTAGCATGGCATGGAGGTGGAATGGAGCAGAAGCTCTCAGATACTCCATTGGGCGAGGGAATTTGTTGGGGATCGTGCGTGTGGTCAAGAATGTAAGTGGGAGATGAGTTCAGCCAAAATGCATGAAGTGTACCAGGCCTGTTTGCTTAATGAAATACACAACTCACTCTCCATTCCAGTTATTCCTTAAAGGGAACTGATTTAAACAAAGGTGGAAGCAGAATTTCTTTTTCCAGCCGTGGGTCCCATTCCAGAGGATGTCATTTAGGGAACCAGTGGAACAAATTTATGCCACCAACAGAACAACTTTGAGGGGTTCGGGTTCAGTCTTAGACTTGGGACCCACAGGAAGCTCTGACAATCTGTAAGAGGGCAAATTCTTCCTCAGAGAACCCGACTACAGACGTCTGGATTAAGCTATGTCCTATGAGCTATTTACAAGCTCACTGGTGCTCGGAAAATAAAAATAAAGTTAAAATGCACCGGGGCAAAATGGGAAATATGGAATCTATTGTCCACGTCTTGTTTCGTTAATGGCTACAAAGACACACTAGTCTTCTTGGTTATCACTCCTACAGGACTGTCGAGGAAGATCAACAATTATTATGTCCTCAATCTTTTATCAGAAGTGAGTAACGCCGTAGCATTAAAGGCTGTAGCGTTTTGCCAAATAGCATACAAGGTCCAATAAAAGGCAGTTTTATTAGCTGAGGAAGAGTTGAGGACCGTAGGCAGTACAGCGACTGCAGTCACTGAAACCACTTGAATGATGAGCTTGTATCAAATTTTACCTCTATGTTCTTATTGTCAAGGATGAAACTTTGGCAGCTACGTGCCTCTGTGTTTCAACTTGCTTTTAGGGTACGGGGGAAGGTGTTACTTTTGAGTGGGTTAGATGGAGAAATAAAACTTGAAGATCCCACTGAAGACCGTTGAGAGCCTGAAACCTTTTCAAGGACACCGTAACAGGTGCGGATTTGAAACAGACGGTTCCCATTACAAAGTGAACTTGTTTGTATGGACTAAGTAAGACGTTGGGGTGTGTGGCTGGGGAAATGATTGTTTTAGGTCTATGATTTGGTGTTGGAACCTCAGTTAGTTTTGCTTCAACATTACCATGCAGTGTATGCAATAAACGGTAAGATTTTCGGAAATGGAATGAACCTGGATTTTTATTTGGATTCTGGGAGCTGGATGTTGACAGTTATGTGGCTTCAGCAGCCAAGTTAAATATTCCCTAATTTAATAAAAGCTTGAGTTAATGGACCTTCATTTAACGTACTTTGGATGCAGTAGGCAAATTTGACCATTTGGGAAGATCACCAAGAAGGCACTGGGACAACTGGAGAATGGTCATACTGAGTCATAGCAACAGCACTTAGACTTATATACCACTTCACAGTGCTTTAAAAGCCCTCTCTAAGCGGTTTACAGAGTCAGCCTATTGCTCCCCCAACAATCTAGGTCCTCATTTTACCGACCTTGGAAGGATGGAAGGCTGAGTCAACCTTGAGCCGGTCAGGATCGAACTCCTGGCTGTGGGCAGAGTTTGCCTGCAAGACTGCATTCTAACCACTGCACCGCCAGGGTTCCTGTTATGACATCAGCGTTGTCATAAATGGCAGAGAAAGCATAAGAAAAATGCTTTTTCTTGGTCTCTTTACAATATAGTTGAGGCATTATTTGAATCTTTGGAGAGCAAAAACATCTTTCTTTATGACCTAGTTTCTACCCAGCATCTAAGGAAGGCAGGGGGGCAATATGGTGGCTAAAGAGTTGAACCCGCCCCCCCTCTGAACCTTAAAAAGCCAATGGGGGCATCTACATATTTTGACACAATGAACAACATCACCAAGTGGCCTTTTAGATATAGCTATAGGATATATATGTTGGTGTAAACTGTAGAGTGACACTTAGGCGAGATGGGTGGAGGAGAAATGTAATCAATAAGTTAAATACGATAAATGAGAGATAGAATCTGTTCCTGGGGCTGAGGGTGAGCAAGAACCGGTGTCCCCATGTTAGTCCTGCACCTTGAACCATGACCCTGTAGAAAACACCTCTTTTGGGACATCTAATGGAAAAAGGGAAGTTGTGGCATTTGTGCGATTGCTCCATCACACAAGATTCATCACTGCTTCCCAAGGACATGCATGGACCAGTCTATTGGTTACTGCAGAAGAAACAGCAGTTGGCCCATCTAATCTCTGTCCCAAAGGTGCTTTTCCAAAAGTCAACTGGACCTTCTTAGGTTTTTTTTTTCCTTGAAAACCTTTCACTCTTCATCCAAGAAGCTTCTTCAGTTCAGAAGTGAAATGTTTTCAAGGAAAAAGACCAAGAAAGTCCAGCTGCTTTTTGAAAAAGCACCTTTGGGACAACCATGACCTGGACGATGGAGAATCTCCACAGACATCTAATCTCTGCTTTATTTCCCAGGCATTGCCTTGCAAAGATGAAGCTACGCATCTTTTACAAACTCACTTCCTTTTCTTTTTTCCTGTTGCCCCGTTTTTGTTTTTTTTAAAAAGATCTCCTTTTACTTTGCTGACTGTATACTCTCAGTTACGCAAACTGCCTGTGGACAGAAGGTCATGTGAGCAAGGTAAATAAGGAAGATCCTTACAGGTTCCTGCATGGGATGACTTAGAGGCTTATCCAGCGCTGCCATGTTGCTGGTCATATCCGGCGGGTGTGACAACTGGGGGGCATGCATGAAGTCGTTCATAGATGTCCCGCCGGGATTCCCGTGGGGAAAATCAAAATTGCTGTGACCTTGGTAACTGTTACCTAAATAGCAAAGAAAAGTAAAGTAAAGAATAGTAAAGTTGGAATCAAAATCAAACCAGGAAGGCCAAGTCCCAATTTTTCTTCTTCTTCAGGGTCTAGATCAGGGGTAGTCAACCTTGGCTCTTTTATGACTCATGGACTTCAACTCCCAGAATTCCTGAGCCAGCCATGCTGGCTCAGGAATTCTGGGAGTTGAAGTCCACGAGTCATAAAAGAGCCAAGGTTGACTACCTCTGGTTTAGATCAAACTTTCAACTGCCACCTTCTTGGCTTTGTCGTTGGCCAAAACTAACTCATTATCGGTACATGTTTCTGATAGTAGCCGACATACTAGCAGATGGGGCGGGCTCTGCATCTCTCCACATTCACACAGGGTGTTGTTATCTACTAAGAGTCTCCACTTGAGCATATGATCTCAATGAGCTCCTCATCTTCTATAAAAGTTGCAATAATTAAAGGGTGCAATCCCAATAATTTGGGTGCAATCTCAAAACAACTGGAGCACCACTTAAGTACCATCAGCATTGACAATTCACCCTCAGTCAATTGCAAGAGGCAGCTTTACTCAAAGCAGCTTACATCTTGTGACGACAACACCATCAAACATCCACATCTGCCAATCCCAGATTCTTTGGAAGGACAAAATACCATGTCCAGTCTGAACATCTTGGTGGACCATAATAATCTCTAAATATTTCTGACTTCTAAGTTGGCATTTTTTGAGTCTTGGCTGCATATCTCAAGTGTTAAACTCACCTTGGCTACTGTATTCGCTGGAATTGGTGCCCCCGGGGGGCGGTGGGATGGATGGGTAGGGAGATGGACCTGGACCCAGGGCAGCAATCATCTCCATCACATTAGGCATGATCATCTGGCTGGGACTCATGGTTTTGAACCTTTTAGAAGGAATGCCATCTGGATCATCCTTAATGTGAATGTCGGACTTGATGGGGACAGGTCTCCAGCTGCACGTTGGGTCAATTGTGACTTCTTCAAACTCGGAGCTGTAAAAAACACAAGTGCATTTGATAATAGCCGAGAGTTCTCAATACAGCATATACATTTTAGATGTTACTAATGTCATAGTAATATTAAAGTCAATAAGTCCAATAGGTATTCAGTTGTTGTTCAGTTGCTAAGTTGTGTCCAATTCTTCACGATCCCATGGATCATCACACGCCAGGCTCCCGTTTCCCAGAATTTGCCCAAATTCATATCCTTTGTGTCAATGACATCATTTAACCGTCTCCTCCTCTATCTATCCCCTTCTCCTTTCGCCTTCCATCTTTCCCAACACCAGAGTCTTTTCCAGTGAGTTCTCTCTTCTCATTTGTGTTTGAACTTCAGTTTTAGTATCTGTCCTTCCAAAGAGCACTCAGGGTTGCTTTCCTTCAGGACTGACTGCTTTGATCTTCTTGAAGACCAAAGGACTCTCCAGAGTCTTCTCCAACACTACAAATCAAAAGCTTCAATTCTTCGGCACTCAGCCTCCCTTATGATCCAATGAATCCAGTGCAGGAATCCAAGTTAAACATTCCCACAAATGGACTGCCTGGCTTCTGTTTGAACATGTCCAAGAAAATGAAAGCCCACCAACACTCTTTTCAGTAACTCTTACATATTAGGTCCACAAGTCCATTTTTTCTTTAAAAGTTTTGCTTCGTTAGTTCAGAATAGAGGCTCGTGGTTAATTATTGGCTTTGTTCATTTTCACATTCATAGAATTGTTGAATTGTGAGGGGGATCCTAGGATAATTTAGTCCAATTCTCTGCTCAGTGCAAGATCCACTGGAACATCTCTGACAAATGATCAAATGTCTCTGTCTGTAGACCTTTAATGGAGAAAACTCACCAATGATGTGGCACCAATTAGTGGCTTGTACAGTCAGGAAGTTCTTCCTGATGGCCTACCCACACCTTCTTCATTGTGGTTTTTTAAACCTGTGGCTTGTAGTTCTGCCTTCTGTGATAATTAAAATCACATCCATTCCTCCTTCTTTATGACAGTCTTCGAATATTTGAAAACTGCCATAATCACTTTTCCCTCTGCAGATTAAACATGGCCAGATTTTTTTTTCATGATTTCTCATGTGGTTTTGTTTCCATAACTTTCTCTGGACTTGCCCTTCTTTGACACTGCCCTTTTACAACTCTTGATGCCCAGATCTGGACACAATAAAGAAGGTCTATAAAGGTACACATCGTTAATTTGATCCGAGAGGTGCAATTAGTACCAAAAACAATGAGCATCAAAAAAAAAATCCCATAAGGAAGAATAAGGAAGAGTCCACAAGGCAGCCAACAACAACAAGTTCTAGCTTGTGCATCGAGTACCAAACAAACAATGAGTACCGGGACAATTTTTCAGTGTGAAAATGCATTGAGTATCAAATAAGTTTCAAAGCAGTTGAGTATGAAGGTACCACTATAATTACGACTTCCCATGATATGTTTTCTATGATTCTGTTATTCTACCCCAAGATCTACTTGCATGACATTCAACACAGCTCATTTTAAGTTGGTGTTATCACTTTGTTAAGATGGCCATACTCCTTCCAGAACAGAGTCCCCGAAGGTGCTTTTTGGGACAACAATGACTGGGATGATGGAGACTCTCCATTGACTTCCAGAACTGAGATTCTTTCCTCTCTTCACCCACTAATCAGATATCCTTGCAAGTAGCAGGAGAAAGGCAAGCTCATTAGACAGTCCAGTCAGATGTGCTAGTAATTACATTGGCCTACTTTAAATCTGGTCTTTGTTGATTAGACTCAGGCATCAACTCTTTGGCATGCTCCCCGCTTTCTGTCTTCCTTGCTGACTTAAAGCCAACTGTGCTATCCCACTCACACATACACACACACAACTGTGGTTTAGTGGGTTTATTAACATTCCCCCACAATTCCCTTCACCAAAAACCCAGAATTGTCCCAATTAAGTCCAGCCACAAGCAGACTGATGCTAGTCCACAGAGCCATGGCCAGTGAGTCCACAAGGCACTTGAAAGTTTCCCAAACAAGATAAACCCACCAGGCAAAATTAAATCCACAATACAAGAGGGTTCAGAGGCAAGAAAAGTCCAGAGTTCACAGGGCACAATCTAAGTCAAGGCAAGGTGTCAATCCAAAGCAAGGCAAGAATCACAATGATCAGAAAACACATCGCTAGGAAATGAACACGTCGTTCTCAGCATGACTTCTCTCTCTCTCTCTGCTGTGCTAAATAGCCGGCTTCTGGTGCGGCCCATCTAGAAGTGCAAGGCTTTCTTCTCTTGAGTAATCTGGCTGACCTCCTCTGCTCCTGTCTTTTCTCTGCCCTACCTGTTCTCAGATCAGGTGCAGAAGGCAGTTCCTCTTCTCATCGCTGACTGGCTGCAGCTTTCCCCACCTGAAGCCTCAGGGCTGTCCTGCTGCAGCTGTGCTTCAGCCAAATCCCTCTCAGATGGCTGCTTGGAGCCACTGACTGACTCCCCTCCAGATGTGACTGGGAATGGTTCATCCTCCTCTGAGCTGACATCTGGAGAGGTATCTGGGGAAGCGTCCGAGGCCGTCATCACACCAACAAGCACCTCCAGATTAATATTCACAATTCAGGATAGAACATTGGGCTCCAAAATTCACATGAGAGGACAACATTTTCTGAGATGATGGGACTTTCCTGACCTTGCCTTCTGGAATTTTGCACCAAAACACTCTCTAGAAAAGGCCCTCCAAGAATTAGAACAGGCGAGCAAACATAGCGGAGGCCCAGTTCTCAACATTAAAGTGACACTTACTTTTGTATAGCGTTCAAAATGCCCCACATGTACTGATCCACCTCCAGGCCCTCCAGCAGAGCTGTTTTACTGGAAAAGAAAAGAAAAAAAACAAAAAACGGGACACACATTTAGGCACTTGCGTTTCATCTGCCACATGAATGATGCTGATTTTGGGAGAGACAGAAGTAAAAAACAAAAAAACCTATTTTGATTGTTTGTAGGCATTTTAAGGTCCTTCCTTCTCTTTGACAGGCTGGACATATCTAGCTCCCTCAACCATACGATTTAGCCTCCAGACCCTTTATTATCTTTATCGTCGTAAAAAAAAAATGCTCTACAGCAAAAACTATTTATCATAATTATTTTAAAAAAATTCTGTTAAGTTAACTATGTCGCATCTCTGGTTTCACGGGCTCAAAATGGCAGTCTAATTTTCGTTTTGGCTTTGAGATCACCGCAGACCTTCGTACTCACTTGCATACAGGGCACCTCCAGGTGCCTCGTTCACAGTTCAGCTGGAGGTAGGATTCCAGATCAAAACACTGTAGGAGGAAAAAAAAAAGTGGGAAAATCTTAGTTAAACTATTGTGCGACTTTGCAAAAAGATAATGGGAGGTGTGGCTGCGAAGACCACTCCCCCCCCCTCAATGGGTGTGAATGAAAAAGAGAAGCTGTTGCATCAAATGCCTGCCAGGAAGAAACAAAAAACCCTTTGCCCAGCATGACAAGAACATGAAGATGTCTATGGAGATTCTCAGCCATCCAGGTCATGGTTCCCCCAAAGTGCTTTTTCAGGAGGCAACTGGACTTTTATGGTTTTCCTTTGAAGACGTTTCGCTTCTCATCCAAGAAGCTTCTTCAACTCTGAGTAGATGCTGAATGGGCAACACAGACTCATCCCCAACAGCCTGTGCCTGTCTTCAACAGGGAAGGGACCCAAGGCAGAAAACATCCTGCAGCCAAGAAGGCTCCACATCCATTTGCACCACTCAGGTGATCCTGAGGACACAGATCAGCCTCCAAGTGGCCTCAACGACTCTCCAAAAGAAGGCAAATGATCAGCTTGTCTGCAAGGAGTATAAATCCTTCCATTCCCCACCATCCAGTCAGAGCTGAAGAAGCTTCTTGGATGAGAAGCGAAACGTCTTCAGAGAAAAACAAGAAAGTCCAGTTGCCTCCTGAAAAACAAACACCTTTGGGAAGAAAATGAATAGTTGTAAGGATTGAAAACACGAGGACAGTGGTCCTCCAACCTTTCTGGCTTTGTGGACTGTTTGGGGGGAGAATGATTCCATGTGAGCAGCAGGCACACGCCCGCTCGCTCGTCGTGGCTCCGTGATGGGCTGCAGCCCACAGATTGGGGACCCCAGCACGAGGATACAAAGTTGTAGAGAAGAATCCTGTCCTCTCAAACACACATCCATTGAAAAACATGTTCTATGGTTTGGAATAGGAAAGAGAGATTATATTCTAAAAAAAGAAAGAAAAATTGCAATGCTGGCTAGAGAAGGCTTCCATCTGGGTTGAGGGAATTGGAACTCAAATACACACAAAGAATATTGGTGGATTTTTTTGGGGATGTGGGGGTGAGAATATTCCAAGATATGTACATGTGGAACTCTTAACATTGTCCAAAGCATCCCGCCGTCAAATAGCCCCATAGGAACTCAGGGAGGCTAAAGGTCAAGCAACTGGAAAGAAAATTCATTTACCTCTGGGAGATGTTGGGTTTAAAGTAACAAAAAGGCAGGAAAAGCTCAGGCGGGTTTTGAAGAAGGTTTTTGGGATGCTCATTGCAATGGCTTATGGGTACCAAGATACAATGCATTTGTTTTCCCAGGGTTTCAGCATGAGATGAATTAGCATTGTTGCAGTAGAAGAGGGGTGGAGTCAAGAGAGGAATCAGCCTGGAATCCTTACATCGCCACAAGCAAGCCAAACCCAGCCCCCTTTGAATTCCGTTAATTCTTACGTAATGTCAATTTAGTGGTGACCGTTAGTTGGCTAGATTCTTGTCTATAGGTGCGAGCAATATGTCAGTTTAATGGGAATTTAATCCTGCTTCTCTGCGCCTGACAATTTTAGCATTAGCGCTATTGGTAGTTTAATAATTAGAGGGTTGGCTGTACACATTTGTTGAAGGAGCAGATAAAATGTGGCCTCAGCTGGCAGTGAATGGGACATGGGGAGGTGCTCACCTGTACGTGCTTGCAATCGTGACCTCTTGCTGGCAGCTGGATCCGCCGGAATGTGATTGGACATTTGAGAGAGACTTTGATGGCTGTCTGCTCCACACCATCTTCCCCATTGAGAGGTGCGTTGCCCGAAGAGGCGGCCACGCTGCTAAAATTTCTCTTGACTGTTGCCCCCCCAAAAAGAGAAGAAATGGAGGGAGATAACAGAATTCATACTTAGGACTGTTTTAACAGCACGACAAACATTCTTGGGTTGACAGAAACTTGCCATAGTGGTCAATATCAGTAGCTCGGGTGTAGGGTGAGGGTGAAGATCTGTTCTCCAAGCTTGTGGGTTGGTTTACAATGTTTCACTACCAGGCTAGGTAATATCTTCAGCAGAATTTAGGGCAGGGGTCCCCAACCCCCGGGCCGTGGACCAGTACCAGGCCGTGGCATGCCAGCCACTGGTCCGCACAAACAAGCAAAGCTCCATCCGTGGGATGCAGGCGGCACGCAAACCACGCAACTCCCCCCGGTCCACGGAAAAACCTTTCTCCACGGAACCGGTCCCCAAATGGTTGGGGATCTCTGGTTTAGGGGATGTCTGTGTCAGTGTTCTTCTGCTTATAAGCTTTATATCTGTGGATTTTCCTAAATTTGGAATCCATATTTTTGTTTTCGAAACGAATGGAAATGAGCCTCGTAACTTTTTCCCTCTTTAGGAATTGAAGTGAAATCAGGATGATTTTCAGAGGCTCCCTTGCTGCTTCTCGGTTTGAGAGAGCGTAGACTTAAAAAGTTAAGCACAAGAAACATTCCACAAATTATGCCTAAGACTATTGAACATTCTTTGGCTGAGAGGTAAAGTGAATTTACCTGGAGAAGGTAAAGAAAGAATTGTACATTTCCAGATAGATCAGAAAATAAAGGCCATAGAATTTAATGGGTTTGTTCTGTGTCTCCAATGGCTGTTTATTGTAGTGGTTAAGGCGACAGGCTAGAAACAGGGTGTCTGTGAGTTCTAGTTCCATGAGGGTGACGGTTCGTTCTCTGAGCTTGTGGGGTTGGTTTCCGAATATTTTGTTACCAGGCTAGGTAACATCTTCAGCGGCGTTTAAGGGATGTCAGTGTTCTTTTGTTTATAAGGGCTCAACAAACACATTGACCTACAACCAGCCTACAAACCCTTCAGAATTCAAATCAACCACACAGCCAACCAGAAAAAGCACCACCCTCAGCCATCCCGCGCAATCCCCCTTTTTCCCGTCAGCACTTCACTTCCCAATGACCCTGATCTGATGTAACCTCCCCATCCCAAGACCCATCCCAAGCCTCTCACTGATGACTCACACCTCAACGCATCACAAGACCTTCATTTGACACACCCACACCTGAAGCCCTTATAAACAGAAGAACACCGACACTGAAGATGTTACCCAGCCTGGTAGAAAAACGTTTGGAAACCAACCCACAACCTTCGCACTGACAGAAACTTTCCCAGGACCGGATGGAGTTCATCGTCTACTTTCTGGGCCAAAAGACACGCAAAGTTCTACTCACTTTTTGTGATGCAATGTTCAGCTGGAAGCAGGCGTTTCTTTAATAGGCCCTGGAGGACAGAGCGGACCGAAGGCCGGTGTACTAACTGCAAAACAAACAAATGGGACTGGGGGAGGGGGGGGGAAAGGGAAAATAAAAATTCAGTTGTCACTAGAGGATCCATGGCCACTCAATCAGAGCACCTGCCTCAGATGCTGTAGGAAAGAAGTCAGACAGGGAAGTTATGAAGGGTCCATGGTTGGGAGCGTTTCATCTTGCTGGGGTTCCCATGCCAAATCTCTCCTTTGGAGTGCTAGCCCGCTTCAGGAGAGATTTGGAGTGGGATGGTCTTCATAGGAGGGTCTTCAGAGAAATAGCTCCAACTTCTTGGAATGTGTTTCTCTAATGGACATGTTGCCATGGCCCATCTGAGCAACCTTCAAGGTCTCCAAACGCCTCAGTGAAGATGCTTGTCAGCCTTACTATTCTCCTTCTCTTCCTCCTCCTTTTCTCCTTCTCCCCCTCCTCTTCTTTACTCTTCTTCCTCCCCCTCCTCCTCTTTCTCCTCGCAAGGCCCTCAAGATAGTGTAGGTTAATGCATTATTTAGGGTTTTTTTGCCTTGGGGAGGGACAATTTGGCAGATATTTGGCAGATAAGGACATTTCTTTAATCTAAAACTATTTCCCAACAGTCAACTTTTCATAAACAGACACACATGCACACATAGACACACACACACAGAAATTGCACAGAATTAATAGAGCCATTAGGTACTTACACAACAGCATGCCGTGACAGTGATTTGAATTGTGTTTCTTCCTGGCTGGCAAACGTGTTTGAGGTGCAGGGGTTTATGCGATGTCTTGTTGTCGCCCCGTTCAATGGTGAGTGGAGTTGCGTTGACGCTAACCTGGACTGAGGCTGGCCAGTTGGTGTTCATTTGCCGGTCTTCGTGGTGATAACACTTGAATTGTAATTCCAAGTCTGATCTGTCAAAGAAGGCAGATGTTTACATTGGTATAAGCAGCTGCTCGTTACATGTGTAAGGCAGAATTCTATTCTATTCTATTCTATTCTATTCTATTCTATTCTATCCTATCCTATCCTATCCTATCCTATCCTATCCTATCCTGTATTCTATCCTATTCTGTATTCTATTCTATTCTATTCTATTCTATTCTATTCTATTCTATTCTATTCCATTCCATTCCGAACCCCTCAGGATCCAAATCAACCACACAGCCAACCAAAGAGAGCACTGCTCCTCAACCATCCCACACAAGCCCCCAATCCTTCACCTCCCAATGACCTTCACCTGATGTGACCTTCCCATCACAAGACCTTCACTTGGCACAAACCCACTTGACCCATCACAAGACCCTCACATGAGGTGACTCACACCTGACCCCTCACAAGACCCTCACTTGACACAACCCACACCTGATCCATCGTAAGATTCCAACCTGACGTGATCTCCCCACACGGGTCCCGCAGTGCCTTTGCCGCATTCCATGGCCCACCTACCTCCACATGAGGGTCTGATGGACGGTCGGCCGCAGGTGAAAGACGTGGTTGCTGACCGCCAGGTTGTGCTCCAGCCGGAAGGGCTCCAAGACGACCCCGTCTCTCACGGGGAACGTCAGGCGCAGCTCATCGTTATGGCTGGCTGGGATCGAAGAGGGAGAGGAAAGTTAACAGGGGGAGATTCCCACGACTTTCAGCAGCCTTCAGGAATCCCAAAGACGCTTTTTCACGAGGCAATTGGACTTTCTCTGTTTTTCCTTTGAAGACGTTTCGCTTCTCATCCAAGAAGTTTCTTCAGCTCTGATTGGATGGTGGGAAATAGAAGGATTTATGCTCCTTGCAGACAGCTGGTCATTTATATTCTTTTAGAGGGTCGTTGAGGCCATCTGGAGGTTTATCTGTGTTGTCAGGGTCAGCTGAGTGGTGCAAATGGGTGTGCAGCCTTCTTGGCTGCAGGATGTTTTCTGCCCTGGGTCCCTTCAGCACAGCATTCAACACACCCATTTGCACCACTCAGCTGACCCTGACGACACAGATAAACCTCCAGATGGCCTCAACGACCCTCTAAAAGAATATAAATGACCAGCTGTCTGCAAGGAGCATAAATCCTTCTATTTCCCACCATCCAGTCAGAGCTGAAGAAGCTTCTTGGATGAGAAGCGAAATGTCTTCAAAAAAACCCAAGAAAGTCCAGTTGCCTCCTGAAAAAAAAGCACCTTTGAGACAACCATGACCAGGATGATGGACAATCTCCATAGACATTTAGTGACGCTGGCTCTAATGTTCCCGCAAGGCACATATTTTGCCCGGTTTCCACACGGGGGGCAAAGAGAATCAGAGGAAGACTTTCCAGATTTGGTACTTACCTGGAGGTGGGGGCAAAGCAGTGATATTTGGCTTAATGTCCGGTGGGAAGGGCGGTTTGACATCTTGGTTAGGAGACAGGTATGGCGCCATGTTGCTGCCGGGCGTCATAGGTGGCGTAGGATTTCCTGGAACAGGTGAGTGAGGGTAATTTGCTACAGGGACAGGCCTTGACGGCTGCAAAATGGTGGTTGCCATTGGAAAGAGAGAGAGAGAGAGAAAGAAACAGAATTGAGTCAATAGCAATAGCATTTAGACTTATATGCTGCTTCACAGTCCTTTACAACCCTCTCTAAGCGGTTTACAGTCAGCCTATTTGCCCCCCAACAATCTGGGTCCTCATTTTACTAACATCGGAAGGATGGAAGGCTGAGTCAACCTTGAGCTGGTCAGGATCAAACTGACGAAGAGCTGGCAGCCGGCAGTCAGCAGAAGTAGCCTGCAGTACTGCATTCTAACCATTGCGCCACCAGGGCTCGCCCTTCCTTCCTTCCTTCCTTCCTTCCTTCCTTCCTTCCTTCCTTCCTTCCTTCCTTCCTTCCTTCCTTCCTTCCTTCCTTCTAGCACTTAGACTTATATGCTGCTTCACAGTGCTTTACAACCCTCTCTAAGCAGTTTACAGAGTCAGCCTATTGCCCCCCAACAATCTGGGTCTTCATTTTACTGACCTCGGAAGGATGGGAGGCTGAGTCGACCTTGAGCCAGTGAGATTTGAACTGTCGAACTGCTGGCAGCCGGCAGCGGCAGAAGTAGCCTGCAATACTGCATTCTAACCACTGCGCCACCACTGCTCATATGGTCAACCTCCAAATAAGTTTTTCGTTACTTATTGCAAGTGGCAAGGGTTTTTCATTTCCGCCCTAGCCACAATTAAAGCTTTGCCAAATGTGCAAAAATGAACTCCCATATGAAGGAGCGAAAAAAATGAAGGCCAGTGCTTCTCACCTTGTAATATTGCCCCATGTTAACGGCTGGGGCAGGATATTGCCCCGTGTTTTGCTGGCTTGGCATTCTCTGCCCGGGGTAGTTGGGTGAGGTGAGCGGTCTTGGAGGATTGGGGGCGGGATACTGGCCAGGCTGGGATGGAAACTGGTTATTTGGTCCATACTGCTGGTTTCCATAATTTGGCTGGTTGATAGAAAAAGACACACAAAAAACAATACATATACATATATATATATACTGTATACATATACATGTACATATACAAACACACACACATATATATACTGTATATATACACATACACCCACACCCACACACAAGCATACACACAAACACACTGTATATTATTATTATTATTATTTAAATTTATATACCACCCTATCTCCCTTACGGGACTCAGGGCGGTGAACAGGCAATAATAAAAATCACAATAAATATTAAATAAAAAGCCTGCTCTAAAATACATTATATACATTATAATGACACCTCTGGTGGACTGCAGCTAAACTGGCTCAAAACTAACCCTGCAAGACGTTATTTTGGCTGAGATGTTCCAAGGTGATAAGAACATTTAAAGCTTCACCTCAACGGATATGGGCAAGTCCTCAGCATACGACTACAATTGAGCCCAAACATTTCCATCACTAAGTGAGACAATGGTTAAAATAGGCTTCGCTCCATTTTACGACCGCTCTTGCCACCATTGTTATGTGAATCGCTGCAGTGGTGAAGTTAGTACGACGGTCGTTAAAGGAATTCGGCTTCCTCCATTGACTTTGCCTGCCGGAAGGTCGTAAAAAGGGATCACGTGGTCCCCGGGACGCTGCAACTGTCCTAAGTACATGACAGTTGCCAAGCCTCTGAATTTTGATCACGTGACCAGGGGGATGCTGCAACAGTCAGTCGCAAGTGTGAAACATGGTCCTAAGTCCCCTTTTTTCGGTCCCATTGTAACTTTGAAAGCTCACTAAAAAAAAATATGGTTGTACGTCGTGGGTACATTTGGGCACTGAGAGCGAACCCAGTGATATTTTTCGGAGGGCAATCGGTTTGGTGCAAAAGAAGGAGGAGTTTATAAAAATGGAATACAAAATTAAGCCAACGATGGGCCCTTTCCATTGATCCATGGGAGAAACTGAACAATTGCCCTGGGTCTTCAGGGCAGAAAACCCCCCAATCATGTTGAGATGCACCAAAGTCATCTACAATCTCATTCTTGGATCAATCTTTTTGCACATCTCGTTCCTCCGGATAATTTCAAACTCACTGTTCATGTACTAGCATTACTTCAACAGGAGGTGTCACCGTCTAGGACAGTGATGGCGAACCTTTTAGAGACCGAGTGCCCAAACTGCAACCCCAAACCCACTTATGTATCTCCGGGTGCTGGGTGGGTGTGGCCCTTTGGGTAGGTGTGGCCCACTGGGTGGGTGTGGCCCATTGGGTGGGCATAGCTGTGGTGGTAACGGCAGACTGGGTGGGCCTAAAAAGTTCAATCAGTCAATTCCAACTTTGCGAGAAAAGTTGAAATTGATTGACTGAACCTTTTTTTTTTTGCACACGGCGGCGGAGGCCTAAAGCGCAAAGGTTTTATAAAACCCAGCTGAAGGCCTAGGACTGGGGCGACGGCGCGCGTGCCCACAGAGAGGGCTCTGAGTGCCGCCTCTGGCACCCGTGCCATAGGTTCGCCACCACGGGTCTAGGAGCTAAAAGAAGAGCTAAATATGGTTGAATTTGGTTGATACTGAGATGGGGAAGCACCACCAGGAAAGTTGGACAAGATTGGGCAAAAAAAAAAAAAAAAGTTGTGCCATGGCAGTACCATTTCTACACTGTGGTCAAGGAAACTACATGGAAGTGTGTGTGTACGGAACAATCACATTCACAATACAGAATAACAAGAGTTGGAAGGGACCTTGGAGGTCTTCTAGTCCAACCCCCTACTCAGGCAGGAGATCCTATGCCTTTCCAGACAAATGACTGTCCAGTCTTTTCTTAAGAACCTCCAGTGATGGATCACCCACAACTTCTAGAGGCAAGTCGTTCCACTGGTTAATTGTTCTCGCTGTTAGGAAGTTTCTCCTTAATTCCAGGTTGCTTCTCTCCTTGATTAGTTTTCATCCACTGTTTCTTGTCCTGCCTTCAGGTGCCTTGGAGAATAGCCTGACTCCCTCTTCTTTGGGGCAGCCCCTGAGATATTGGAACACTGCTATGTCCCTCCTCATCCTTCTGTTCATTAGACTAGACATAACCAATTCCAGCAACCGTTCTTCGTATGTTTTAGCCTCCAGTCCCCTGATCATCTTTGTTGCTCTTCTCTGCACTCTTTCTAGAGTCTCAACATCTTTTTTACATCGTGGTGGCCAAAACTGGATGCCGTATTCCAAGTGTGGCCTTAACAAGGCCTTGTAAAGCAGTACTAACCCTTCATCCTTCTATTCTATTTTATCTTCCAGTTGCCTCCAAAAGCAGTGGGCGCTCCCTCGCTGGAGGTTTTTAAGAAGGGATTGGACAACCATCTGTTGAAAAGGTGTACGGTTTTCTGCTTGAGCAGGGGGTTGGGTTAGGAGACCCCCAAGGTCCCTTCCAACTCTGTTATTCTGTTATATAATCTCCCTAGTTTGCAGGAGGCCGAAGCCAACCCACTCCGAATTGAGCCACCGATACCCACCTCTCCGGGATATGTTCTCTTCATGCTTTGCATGGGCAATGATTGGGGACGTGGGCCAGGGTAAGCTTGTTGGGGCATCCTCTGCCCGTGGGTGAAGGGGCTCATTCCTGGAGGCCTGGCCTGGCTCATGCCCATGGGTGGCCCGCTCATACTGGAAGGCGTCATGCTCGCCCCCATGGACGCCGGGTTCAGGTTGGCTGGCATGGAAGCGGGACCGCGAGGGCCAGACTGGCTGATGAACTGGCTGCTGTAAGGCTGGGCCGGACCCATCTGGAAAGAGGAACAAACCTTCAACAGAAGAAGGAGGAGGAGGAGAAGAAAAAAAAAAGAATATAAAAATGCGACATGGACTTAAGAGGGGAGGGGGAGCCGTACAGGAGAGGAATCAGAGCTGTCGCATTTTCTGAGGGTTGCTTCCTTGCATTCTGAAGGACCGTCTTTGCTACCGGGGGTTTGAAAAAGGCAACGGACCAGGAGGCCACCGTTGACTTAATGGAGGTCACGAAAACCTTCCAGCTTTAACTTCTGAGTTACGTCCTGTTGCAATTTCTGAACAGAGCATAGGAGCCCATTTCCAAGTAAAGAAATGCAACATCATCATTCTGGCAAGGGACTACGGCAACCTCTGGAGGGATGAGCAGCAAACTTGAGTTGGATGACTAGAAAGAGCTTATCTATGGTGGCTGATCAAGGTTGGTCCTGGTTAGTCTGGGAGTCATCAGATTGGGCTGAGAGAGAGAGTGACTGGCCCAAAGTCACCCATCTGGCTTTCATGCCTAAGGCCGGACTAGAATTCACAGTCTCTAGCCCAGTGGCCTAACCACAAGACCATACTGGCTGAAACTGATAGCAATGGCAAATTACAGAGTTTAATTAGTCACATGAACATGGCAGATAAGCCTATTTCTAGCTAGAAAGATTATCTGCCCTCTAATATGTAATTTGTTTGCAATTACTAGCAGTTATAATTAGATAAATAATTATAACTGAGTGCATAGGAAAGGAATAAAAACAAAACAAATTTGTCTCGACACAGATTATTTTGCATTAATATTCAGATACAATTAACCCTGTTATAAAGTTAGAAAAAGCATTATCAATAATTCGCGGGAATTAAAACACAGATGGAGATAATAGCTATAAATCAGGACAATGAAATTCAGTGTATTTAGAGAGATTTAAGATATTCATTAAAAAGCAAGGGGGAGGGGATTTACTTAGTCAAGTTCCAAATAAAAATAAAGTTGTTTTAAAAAATACGAATAGAACCTATTTTTAAGTGGGCTGTAGTTTATGGAGTTGCAACAGAATTATCGTTAAGTGTGAAAAACGGTCACTAAATGAACTATTGTAAATCAAGGATGTCTTCATAAAGTCATCACAAGTCAGGCTTGGCTAAAGGGGACTCTTTATGCTCCTTTAGCTGATCTCAAAAACCTGCTTAATATTTTGAGCCAACACCAGTGGGAAATCCTTTTATTTCTCTAGTCTTTTACTTCTAGTCTGAGAAGTAAAAGAAGAAAATCTGGGAAAAAGACAAGGGCATACGACTTGGTGGGTAACACAGACACAGACTACAAGCGGTTAAGTCACCTTGACGATAAGTCAACATTTATTTTTATTAATAAATCAATGGTTTATTGTCCACGGCACCTCAGGGCAGGACAAGAAGCCTTGGGTGGAAGCTCATCGGAGGACAATGAATTTTGGAAATAAGGAGGAATTTCCTGACAGTGAGAACAATGGGTCAACACAACAACTCGCCTCCCGGAGTTGTGGGTGGCCCATCACCACAGGTTTTCAAAAATAGACTGGACAACACTTTGTCTGGGATGGCCTAAAGACTCCTGCCTTGGGCAGGGAGTTGGACTAGAAGACCTCCAAGGTCCCTCCCGTCCCTCTGATTCTTTATCTTTTACTTTGTCTATATAGTTTCTGTTGTGGTTGACTTTCACTGCGAAATTCATACTTTCTGATAAGGGTATAGCAAGCTTCTTCCAAACCTCACAAGTTCCGGTTCAGAACCATTTCAGCCCCCTGCCTTTGTCTGGACAAACAGCAAGAGGTCATCAGCACATCGGCATGTTTTCCAAAAACAAACAAACAAACCACACAAACTACCTAGTTTTACTCGCCCTTAGGGCTCTGCTAGCATAAACTGTCAAAGCTGATAGCATCGGATGTTTTTGCATTGACAACAGTTGGAAATGTAGCCATCTTTTACCTTTTGCTTTTAGAGTTAGATGATGCTGGGAGGGGGGATATGAATGAGAGTCCAGCTAGACATAACAACACTAAACCTAGCATGAGAATCAAGGTTGTTGAAATAAGAGATGATAAGAATTGGTGGGATGGAGAGCTGGAGGGAAAGCCCTTGCTTCACACTAATTGGGGAATGTGATTTATGACAGTTAATTGGAGGAGGGAATTGTGCTTTGATACTATGTGCTCAGGGGAGGGGAATTCAGATTTTGGCTTTGACTATGTCAGTGCCGATGTTATGCTACTCGAATAAAGATTCTTTAAGGTAAACAATGCCTCAAAATTCTTTTGAAGAGTTCCATTTGTCGGAACCAGGACATAAACCTCAAAGCTGTGAATCTGTGGCCTTATGCGATAGACCTATCTTTCTTCTTTTAAAAGAGGAATAGGTTACACTTTTTGGAGAGAGGGGGGCAGCCATCCCCTTATGATGGACTCACCCAAACCAGGCTGGGTTTCATCCCTAATGATCTATGAAGATCAGGTCAGTCATGTCCGAGTCTAGGACACGGTGCTCACCTGTTCCTTGGCCAAGGAGCCTACGTTGTCCGAAGACAATTTCTCCCAGAATGGCTATACGCCAAAGTCCCCGGAGTGCTGTTACCTTCCCACTGAAGTGGTACCCATTAATCTAGTCGCATCTGCATGCTTTCAAACTCCTAGGTGGGCAGGAACTGGGACAAGGAGAAGGAGCTCACTCCGTTGTGTAGAGCTCGGCTCTCGAACCTGGGCTGTCAGCTTTCTTTAACCGCTGAGCCATCCTACCCCCTCTGTGATCTCTACGTCTACCCAAATGAAAAATCCCACCCACGACGGAAGTTAACTGGCAGTCTTACCGGTCCGTATTGATTCATTTCCTTGTTTTGGGTTTCCTGCAGGGCTGCAACCGTTGCGGTAGCTGTCGCTGTGGCCGTGGCGGCAGCGGCGGCCACGGCAGCCGCAGCTGCAGCAGCAGCTGGTTGAGTGAAATCAGCTGGTGGCCGGGTGTGTGGCGGCATCCCCATCCCAGCTGGGTTGTTAGGGCCTCCTGGATAGCTGAGGGAGAGAAACCAAATTTACACACGTCGGTGTTTGAGTCACCAAAGAGTCAATACAGTCATAAGGCTGTGTTAACGAATCAAGATCGTGTGAAGAGTTAGCACCACTTTATAGTGCCTTGCTAAGGCCACACTTGGAATATTGCATCCAGTTTTTGTCGCCACGCTATAAAAAAAAATGTTGAGACTCTGGAAAGTGTGCAGAGAAGAGCAACAAAGATGATCAGGGGACTGGAGGCTAAAACAAATGAAGAACGGTTGCAGGATTTGGATATGGCCAATCTAGAGGAAAAAAAGACTAGGGGTGACATGATAGCAATGTTCCCATATCTCAGGGGTTGCCCCAAAGAAGAGGGAGTCAAGCTGTTCTCCAAAGTGCCTGAAGGCAGGACAAGAAGCAACGATGGAAACTAATCAAGGAGAGAAGCAACCTAGAACTAAGGAGAAACTTCCTGACACTTAGAACAATTAACCAGTGGAACAACCTGCCTTCAGAGGCTGTGAATGCTCCATCACTGGAGGTTTTTAAGAAGAGCCTGGATAGCCACTTATCTGGAATGGTATAAGGTGTCCTGCCTGAGCAGGGGGTTGGACTAGAAGACCTCCAATGTCCCTTCCAGCTCTGTTATTCCGTTGGTTTGCATTTAAGACCAGGAGTAACACAATTCAGGGAATTTCAACATGAAATTGCAACAACAACAAGAACAATAATAAAGTTGGAAGGGACCTTGAAAGTCTTCTAGTCCAACCCCCTGCTTAGGCAGGAAACCCTATACCATTTCAGACAAATGCCTGTCCAGTCTCTTCTTAAAAGCTTCCAGTGTTGGAGCATTCACCGCTTCTGGAGGCAGGTTGTTCCACTGGTTAATTGTTCTAACTGTCAGGAAGTTTCTCCTTAGTTCCAGGTTGCTTCTCTCCTTGATCAGTTTCTATCCGTTGCTTCTTGTCCTGCCTTCAGGTGCTTTGGAGAATAGCTTGACTCCCTTTTCTTTGGGGCAACCCCTCAGATATTGGAAGACTGCTCTCCTGTCCCCCCTCATCCTTCTCTTCATTAAACTAGACCTACCCAATTCCTGCAACCGTTCTTCACATGTTTTAGCCTCCAGTCCCCTAATCATCTTTGTTGCTCTTCTCTGCACTCTTTCTGGACTGGATTATCTTTGGATGCCTTTGCAAACTGCTTTTCCAATATTCACCTCTCTGTTTTCGGCGACAGGTACAGAAAATAACATTCCCAGTGAACCCAACTCGATTTCCACCACGCTCGGATGGCGCCCGTCTCCTTCCTCTACGCCTCTCCTGAACTAGCACAGACAGGGCAACCTCTGCTCCAGCCTTACCTTCCCGCGAAGCCTCCGCTGCCAGGGTAGTTGGGTCGTCCGTACATGCCTTGTTGAATGTAGGACTGATTGGAGCTGGCCTTGGCTGAGAAGGGCTGCTGCTGTCCGGCAAATTGGGGGGAACTCAGGCCAGGATTGCTGGCCGTCATCCCAGAAGCCATGGGGTTCCCTGCTTGGTTCATAGCGGTGTTGGCGTTGGCCATGGGATTGCCCAGCACCTGGTTGGAAAGGAAGGCGACATCTCAGACAAGGTCCACGCCAACAACGGTTGCGATTTTAAAAAAAACTGAGCTTTCTTACAGGTTAGTCCTCAACGTACGAGCACAAGGCAGACCAAAATTTCTAAGCGAGACATTTGTTATGTGAGTTTTGCCCCACCCCACCCCGCCCATTTTACGATCTTTCTTGCCACAGTTGTTAAGCGGATCACTGCAGTTATCCAGTCAGGAACCCGTTTGTTAAGTTATCGAGGATCGGTTTTGTAGTGGTGTAAACAAAATTGTGAAATAAGAGAAAAGAAATCCAGACAAGTCTTAAGATTGTGGAGGACAGTGCCCCAGTCGTACTGCACTCTCAGAAGGGAACGTTAAAACACGTGTCCAAAGTCGCCAAGGTTTACCCTCGGCAAGTCTTAGCGAAAGTCTAGCAGATGCTTCTGCTTTAAGACTAAGCAACACCAAGTAGGAAAGACCAATTATCTCTACAAATCTCTGTTGCTTGTTTCAACACCCTGTGATTACTCATCGTTTGTAGTGCCTGATCTATTTGCATCCATCCCTTGGCCATTCACAGAACAGAGGTGCGCTACATCCCATCTTTTGTGACTTACGTCCTTTTCAATCTGTAAAAATATTGTGGCCCTCAAGAAGTGCTTCTCTACAAAGAGAGGCGTGCCTTAACAATTCTAGAAACACAGTACTCGTGAGTACATACTTTTATTTCAGAAGGAACATCCAGCAGAGAGATATCCCACGGACCTTCCAACTGCACAGGTCCCAGTAAACCAACGTGTCCCAGATGGTCTACTTAAAATTGGACAGTAGCAGTCCAGCAAATCAGAAATCCAATAAAACCATTTAGCTCAGAGGTCTCCAACCTTTCTCATTTGGTGGACCGGAGGGGAAGGGAGGGGCAAGCATTTTATGCGGGCAGCACTAGTGCCCACATGCTGCATGACATTCACTAGCCCTGCCCCATTTTCGCTGCACAGCGCCCCGTTTTTGCCACGTGGTGCCCCATTTTTACTGCGGCACTAGCATGAGTGGGGGTGAGTGCGTGCACACACGTGTGTGCACTGGGCAGTCTGTCCCGTGGCTCAGTGGCCAGCAGGCCATGGTCTAGTAGTGGGCCATGGCCCACAAGTTGTGGACCCTTGATCTACCTCCATCCTAGCAAGAGGACGCTCCATAGTGAGCAACACTACCTGTTGAATCAAGTTTGTAACCTAACCAAACGTTGCTCAGCCTTTGAGGGCAGGAAGGGCGTCAACCTGACCACCCCTGAAAAACAGAAACGGAGAGAAGACTTACAAAAAAAAGATGCTTACCTGGCTTTGAGACGTGTTAGTCACACCCCATACTGTCGTGACCACCGATAGGGAGCCTGGTGGCTGGTTACTGTTTTGTTGCCAAGGAACAGAGTCATAAGGAAATGATCCATCACTATAATAAAATAAGAGAGAGAGAAGGGGGGGGAAGGGGGAAAGACACACGTGGTAGATCAAGTCACACTTTTAATACTTTCATACAAATGACTGCCAGGGCTGGGGAGAAGAGACACTTTTTCATTTCTGAACGGGTTTCCCTTCTAGCTAACGTGGTGGACTTTCCTGACACAGATGGAAACCTTGAAGGAGTTCCTCGTTCCTCTCGGGCTGCGGAGGGCGGGGACCGTTTTTGGAGCCGGGGAGAGAAGAAATGCATGGGGGTGAAGAGGGAGCACAAAACATGCATGACAATGAGGACAAAAAGCAAAGGGGAATGAAACCAGGTGAGGGGTAAATGTTGTGGTGCCAACGTCACGTCGAAGTAGCCCCTGGCACAGCAAGTTTTGGATGCAGGTACCCGATAGAACATGTGTATGCCTTGGGATTCGGGCTTTTCCCCCAGTGCGTTTGCTCGTCAGAAGAAGACAGCTGGGAAAGTTACAAAAAGGGATCGCACGAACTCGGGGCAGCGCAACTGTCCTAAGTACATGCCAGTTGCCAAGCACTTGAATTTTGATCAGGTGACCAAGTTGCAATGGCTGTTTAAGGGTGAAAACTGGTCCTAAGTCAGGTTTTTTCAGTGTAGTTCAAACAGTCACTAAGAGAACGATTATAATTCAAGGACCACCCGTGTTTCTGGGCATCTGAGCTTTGCTGTAACCCTTCATGGCCAACGGTTTCTATCCTGGCTCAAAGCAATCCTTGGATCGAACAAAAATCAGAGAGCCATTTATAACGAGACTCTGGTCCCGTCAGGAGCAAACCAAACACGGTATGTGTGAACTGGGTTTCTGCATGAAAGCTACTGGGGCAGGGTGGCTAAGACTCGGCTTTGGCTTGCGAAGCCTTGATTGAAATTTCATCCTGATTTTACTTCTTTCTCGGCATCCCGCTTTCTCTCCTTCCCCCCCTCGTCTCAATCCGGAAATAACAATCCTGAGGATGGCCGTGGGCTCACCCAATACTAATATGAGCGGGTTAAGGTGCCAAGATAGAAAATGGGAGACGGCGAGTTCTAGTCCCGCCTTAGGCAGTGAAAGTTGGTTGGGTGACTTTGGGCCAATCCCCAAGAAGTTGTGGGTTCTAGTTCTGCCTTAGGCCTGAAAGCCAGCCGGGCGACTTTGGGCCGGTCTCTCTCTCTTTCTCGACTCACCTCACCTCACCAGTTGGTGCTTGTGGGGAATAAAAGAAGGAATCTTGTGTGTGTTTGCTGCCTTGGGTTATTTGTAAAAAATAATAAAAAAAATGAGATACAAATATATAAAATAAAATAATACAAATGATATGTAAATGACTGTATGATTGAAATCCTGAGTTAAGAAAATGATGTATTTTCTGTCACAGCTAATGAGGATCGTCTCTTTCTAGAAATTATATTCGCTGATCGGATTTAGAGGGAGGGGTGTCTTATTACAAATTTCCTTTTATAGATGAGTCAAGGTTGGCAGACTAAGACAGAAACTGTATACCTCCCTCTCAGTCTCCGTGGTCTTCCCTATCCTAGGACTGAATATGGTAGAAATCAGGATTAATTCATCCAACAACCGATAGTTATGACATTTATGTACACAGGTGTACGAGAACGAGCGACTAAATTTCATTTTAACGTGTGCCAATGTGCCCACATTAAAAAAAAATACAATAAAGGTTATCTTATCTTATGTCAAATATCACTACAGTAGTCTTCCTGCTCTCCTAAGATTCTCCTCAGGCACGTATTTTAACCTTCTACCGATAGTCCTCAACTTACGACAACAGCTGAGCCAAAAAATTCGGTTTAACGTTGGTCGAGCAAATTTTGCCTCATTTTATTTCCACGGTTATTAAGTGAATCACTGCAGTTATTAAGTTAGGGACATGGTTGTTAACCGGATCTGGTTTCTCCACTGATTTTGCTTGTCAGGAGGTTGCAAAAGGGGATCACGTGACTCCCTGGGGGACACCGCAACCGTCATAAATACGAGTCAGTTGCCCAGCGTCCGAATTTTGATCACGTGACCATGCGGATGCTGCAACGGTCGTAGGTGTGAAAAAATGGTCACAACTTGCTTTTTTCAGTGCCGTTGTAACTTCAAACGGTCACTAAACGAATTGCCGTAAATCGAGGACTACCTATGTGTGCCTAATTCATGCCCGCAAGAACAAATGTGCACCAAACCAGGTTACTTCCTCTTGGTTGTCATCTCCCTCTTATATCTGTCTGATCTGCATAAGTGACAAGCACGCCTCTAACACCTATGAACGAGAAGACGTGGAAAAGCGAAGCGACTGACATGCGAGTACGAAATTTGGGGAACGCTAATATTTATAGACTTGAATAGCTTCTCAGGTTGGATATAAACATAGCATTAAATAATAATAATAATAATAAAAAGCTGGGGCTGCAGTTCCTGTTGGGCTGAATTATCTGATTTGCTCAGTGTTGTTGCTATGATCCCAAAGGTGTTGTTTTTTTTTTCAGGAGGCAACTGGACTTTCTCGTTTTTTCTTTGAAGACGTTTCGCTTCTCATCCAAGAAGCTTCTTCAGCTCCGACTGGATGGTGGAGAAATGGGAGGATTTATACTCCTCGCAGACAGCTGGTCATTTACATTCTTTGAGGCCACCTGGAGGTTTATCTGGATGTCATGGAGGCCACCTGGATAAACTTCCAGGTGGCCTCAACGACTCTCTAAAAGAATGCAAATGACCAGCTGTCTTGCAAGGAGTATAAATCCTTCCATTCAGAGCTGAAGAAGCTTCTTGAGGGGGTTGGGCTAGAAGACCTCCAAGGTCCCTTCCAACTCTGTTATTATTATTATGAGAAGTGAAACATCTTCAAAGAAAAACAAGAAAGTCCAGTTGCCTCGTGAAAAAGCACCTTTGGGATAACTGTGACCCGGATGGCTGAGAATCTCCATAGACTGTTGTTGCTAGGACCGCTGATGCTGGAGAATTAAAAATGCCCATTTCGCTCGCACAAAAGGAAATATTTGTGCTCACATGCAACACTGAAGGACGTTGTGGATGTGTCCATGATGATTAAAAGCCTATCATGCAGCTCCCATTGTTTGCTAGGTGTGCAAGTCCAAAGGGTCAAGATTGAATCGGTGCAACTATCCTTATTGGGTGAAAATGAGTGATGCAAGGGAACAGAAAAAGGAAGAACACATATGGCAGAACTGAAGGGTTTGAGATATCTTCTTAACGATGACTCATGGTTAAGAATCTTTATGCTGAGGGCCACCCTTTAGCATGGGTGTACCCCACCCTTAAAGAGTAACAGATATCGTAGTCATAAAGGAAAGAAAACTTCATTATAAAATATAAAGACTTCCTACAAGCAATGCATAGAAAGATAAGTTGTCTAGATAGAGAAAAAAAAGGCTCCACTAAAGATGGTTTCAGATGGCGGCTTTAGATAGCTAAAGTAAACTAACATGCTAAGCACCAAACGGCAGCCGTAATATTTACTTTGTTATTGAGAGATTGATTTTTTTTTTAAAAAAAAGGAGAATAGGAAGGAGGGAGAAAATATCAGAAAGTGGAACCCTATCTTGGGTCATTTATACACAAGAAATTACCCATTTCAAATCTGAGAGATAGAATTAGATTCTTATGAGGATGTAGCCATTGTAAAGATTGAAATCTGCACATATTAACACCGTACTCTTTTATCTGCTATTAAAATCTCATTTCTGTAAGTTCTTGGAGAACCTGATGGGATTTGTTGAAAGAAGAAGGGAGGAAAAAAGTTCAACCAATTTTCAACTCTTGATCTAGTTTGAAATTGAAGAAAACGAAACAAAACAAAAAAAAAAACCAATTAACAGGGCTCTCAGCATGCCAAAGTTTTAAAAAAACCATGTGCTAGAATAGATAGCGGTAGCTTGTTCTCAGATTCACAAGAGGAAGTTGACCTATATACTTTCTTAAAACAGGTTAGGAAGCTCCAGAATGTAGACATCTAAAGCTGGACTGACTTCAATGGACAAGGTTGAAAAATCTATTTTCGCTCTGAAGAGGCTCCTGTTTCTAACGTTAAGGTGTAAATAAGGCTACATCATCTCATCAGAGAATTACACCCTCAAAAAAAGAAAAAAAAGAGGGATGAAATTCAAATCTAGCTCCCACTGTGGGGTCGTGGGACAAAAAAAGGGCTAGAAATTCTAGTTGTCCATTCGTTTCATCCTGTCCTCTGAAACATCCTTAAATATTTTTTTTTGCAAATGTTTCCTACTCCTCTTGGTGCGTTTCATTTTGCCACTCCTCTTGATCTGCCATGGGGTTGTCCACAACATCTCCCACCGTGACTGAAGAGAAGAAGCAAATGAACCATTTGCAAATGTCCCCAAACAACCCTAACATTAGGCAGTGAAGTAATCAAACATTCGTGTCCCAGGATCAATTGTTGCAATATCCAATCTAGGTTGGTCACTGGGACCAGAGGTTTCAGTCTTCTGAGCATTCGGACCTGTGTTAGGAGTCACTAAGCTACTAAGATTGTTGGCCGAGCAGGTCCAAAAACAGTCATGGAAATGACTGAAGCTTGGAAAACGGGCCCCTTGTCAATCCACATGAGTGCTTCTGTGCCACCAGCTTATCTGGTACTTAGGAGCCAGAGGACTTGGCAGCACAAAGAAACAACAGCCAACAGCTTAATAGCTGGTCGTCAGCACCCCAATTTACCAACTAATCAGCCACACACAACCAGGCACCACATGAATACTATGGGTAGAATAGCCCAAAGCGCACATTCTGGTGAGACAGATGCTCCCACATGGAAAGCTCTAAACCTCTGGTTCCGGCGACTGACCCAGATTAGATCCTGCAAGCATCAAATAATTTAGCTTCATTGCAGTGTAAAAAAAAAAAAAGCATCTTCCAGGGACTGTCAGCAGGGTCTGCAACAAACCATGATGATGTAATAATGATGATGCAAGCATAATAATGAATTTGCTCAAGGACAACATAGTTG